AATTCGCGATTTAAAATTGAGCACTTTGATAGTATTTCGACGAAAATCGGATTATCGATCGATCGGATAAGTATACGGGTTAATTTTATATATATATATATATATATATATATATATATATATATATATATATATATATATATATATATATATACTCCGGCCGGTCCATTTAATTCCCTTCCCCGGTCCATTTTCTTTCCCATCATCATCGTTTCATTCTTTCTTTTCCTGGACCGAGAGAACTGGAGCAGAGGGCGCGTAGGGGAGGTGAGCACGTAAATTCTCAGAGCTCAAATCTTAAGCTTTAGTGATCCAAAAATCTCGTAAGTAATGCCTAATTCATCTATACACCGTGATTTATCGATTTAGAGCTTTAAAATGAGTTTTTGGTTCATGAATTTCTTAAATTCTCGATAAGTCAAATTAGGGTTTCGGAGTATCCGAAAGCCGGATTGAGCCCAAATTTCATATACGAGCTTCCTGCAGCGAGGTAATCAATCATCTAGTTCCGATCCCTGAATTTCGGCAATTATTTAGGCCGGGGTCCAAATCGCTGAATTTAGCTCCGGCCAGGGTTTGATGTGTTTTTATCGAGAATTTGACCCGGAGCCTAGAACTAATATTGACGGGGATACAGTAGGGGATATTAGGACGGTCTCGGATTTTAATTCGGGGTTCATTGGTGAAATTGACGTTTTAGTACGGGAAGCTTAAATCGGTGTTGAACGACCAGAACTGGTGAGGGATTAGCACGGCATACCGGGTTTGTCGTATCATGATAATTATATTGATGCTTAGAATTGACCTAGGTGAATTAGAATGGCATGATTAGGGTTGTATGGACTTTAATGCTATATGATGAACCATGGATTGTTGTATGATATTATTTACTTGCCCTAGCCGATATGGACCTTGTTTATGTTGATGATTGCATACATGTTGCCATTTGTGGCTTAACCGTTGATATGACTTCATGGTTGTTTGATCAGGTGTTTTGACATGATGTGATATTGTGGTTGTTTTTGGATTCACAAGTGGGGGAAATAAACTTCCCAGGGTGATATTATGATGTTTAAGAAGGATGACTTGCACGAGGGTTTATCCCGAGGAAGTGCAATTATACGACTCCTGATTTACCTATGTTGAGCCAATTATGGCCAGGTCAAGTACATGTGCAAGTAATGAATTATGATTAAGCAAGATAAGATATGAATCATGTATAAGGATACCAAATATGAGTGTTGTGGTCTCACGGTCAACTACATAGTAATTAGGGCTCCCTATGCTATTACTCTATTATGATATGTATGATAGTCACACCTTTCATGTGGTGGTGAGTGAAGAATTCTTACGAGATATGACCACACCCAAAGCGGTGTCGGGGTATGACTACACCCATAGTGGTGTGGGGTATGTATGACCACATCCAAGGGGATGTTGGGGTATGTATGACTACATCCGACGGGATGTGGGGTATGTTTCCCGGGAGAGTTATTAGCATGGGAGTAGCCAGGCGCCTATAAGTAAAACATGATAAGATGCATATGCATAAGTCAAGGTGGTTGAGTCTTTTGCCTATTGGGATGCCGGATGCCTGAGGTCTGATCCTAGTGCTTTGGCTTGTTTGCTAGATGTATGGTAGGGGTATGCTGGTTATGAACTCACTATGCGATGATTATCTCACTCAGCTATGAGCTGACCCTCTTTATCCTTTTTCTCTGCTTATGCCATGTGTAAGCAGATCATCATCAGCAGCAATATATAGGTGTATAGGTGGGAGCTGAGCAAGAGCTGAAGGCAAGATAAGGTATGGTCTTCAACTATTATGTGCTTGGACGACTACTTGGGATTTTGGCCAGTGATCCACACCTTTTTGTAAAAAATGTTTTGAGAACGTTTTTCATGTGCATATTAGCTTCTGATGTAGTGTGAGATATCCAGAGGTGTGGAAAGTTGATGATATGTGTATATTTGTATAATTGTGTAAGTTTTGATGACTATGGCATTGGCATGTATAAGTATGGTATGCATTTGTGGAGTATGAAATCTGTGACTATGGCTATGAAAGCCAATGTATATGGTTGTGAGTGTGAAAGTTTCAAGGAGTTGTTATTTGAATTTAAAGTATTTATTGAAGCATATTTATGAAAAATTCCGCTATTTTTTCAAAGTCATTCTAGTTCTCATTTTGGTTCACAATTTATCAAGGACATTTTAATAATAGTAGTACTCAGCCGGGCTAGGGTGTTACACTACCCATCACTAGAGGTGTGTAACGATGATCCATACCGAATCGCACCAAACTAAACCGATATTTTGGACCCTATCATACTTAACCAAATATAATACGGTCGAGTTCTTGATCCTATGAACTTTGTAAATAATGAAGAAAAATGGACAAATTGACATTTGAACCGAACCAAATTGAACCAAATGACTTGGTCATGATCCTGAGATGTCTTTCACTATTATAGTGTCGTTCTCATCAGAATAGTTCGAAAAATTTCAAGAAATAAACGTTTTCAAAAGAAAATTCATAAAATAGTGATACTTCACAACTGTTTCCCAACATATGTGCTTGATTCATTGATGCATATAATGTTGACGTGGATGCTTGACTGCTTGAGAGAACGTGTTGACAACACTTTTCTTCTTTTGTTTTTACTTTTTGGGGTTCAAAATATTTTTTTTTTCAAGAAAACTTGTGAATAAACTACTCTTATTATTAGGGATGACAATTTTGCCCATATCCATGGGTTTTTACTATCCAACCCAATTGGGTTGGGTATGAAATCCAAATAGATGGATATGGGTAGAATTTGATGGGTTTGTACCCATACCCATTTACTTTGGGTTGAGTTGGGTTTATGACAAATGGATTTGGGTTTGTACTTGTACGCATGTCCAAATACAAATTATAGTTTGGTACCTAAACTTAATAGATATGCATATTTAGTACCTAAATTTAATTTTTTTGCATATAAGTCCTCAAAATATCGATGGAAAATTACATTTTGGTACCTAAATTTTTTTGGTCTTACATTTTGGTACCTAAATTTTTACAAATAGGTCCAATTTTTGCATGTGTAGTTAAAACACCCTCAAGTAAATGGATATCCATATCCAACCCATACCCATTTAGATTATGGAAGCAATATTCATACATTACCCAAATCCATATACAAACCCCACAAACCATATGCACTTCACTCATACCCAACCCATTATCAATAGGTCTACTTGGATTTGGGTATAATTACCCATGGGTGGGTAATTGCCATCCCTACTTATTTTTTTTTATCTAACTACATCAATCTTAATACATATTACACATTTTTTTAGGTGTTTTGATAAGTGGACTATCATATTCATACACAACGTGACATATTCGTACAAACACATTTAATATATTCATATAACATATTTGACATATTCGTACATTATTTTTAGAGTTTTCAAATTGAATACGTTTAACAAGTGTTTTAAATATGGTTAATTATTGTTGTTAATATTCTTAACCGTTGTTGATGTTTTTAACAATTGTTACGAATATTCTAACTAAACATATTTTGTGAAAATTATAAACGGTTGTCGGAATACACGTAGTCAACATGAATATGTCAAATGTGTTGCACAAATATACCACGTGATATGGGTGAATATGTTAGTTCACTTATCAAAACTCCTTGAGAAATGTGTTACATATCAAGATTAGATGCAAAAAATAAATAAATTAAGGACAGTTACTTTAAAAGTTTCTTAAAAAAAAATATTTTGAAACTCAAAAATTAAAAACAATGGAGAAAGTCTCAGAATCCACGTCACGGTACATATGTCGCTAGTTTGTCAAGCAACATAACAAACGTCGCCAATTTAAGTAGCGACCTTTTCCTTCCCTTGTCATGTGTGTAAAAAATCTCCCATTACTCGATAATTCCCACAAACACAAATTCCACTTTATATTGAAAAATAATTATAAAGAACCTCTTTCAAAGGATATTTTCTTTTACAAACCATTTATTTTTGGAAAAAATTCAACCGACCAAACCATTGTACACCCCGCACATCTTGAAGCTAAGAGCAATTGCCAATTAGTTTAAGCCGTACGCTGTAAGCCCATGAAAAAACTTGGGCCTTATTTGCTCTTAATGGACGTTGGGCCACTAATTACGAGCCATAATTTGATTCCAAAATTTAGTTCGCTCGATGCCTCCAACGGTGATCGGGAGGCGCTTCTCTACTGTTGATGCTTCTTCTCCGAGAGACATCCTCCGATTACACAGAGGTAATTCCTGCCCTCCGGTTTATGTTGCTATCATCGTCTTTATAGAAAATGAACTTGCCTATGTTAGCGAGCGTTGTTGAATGGCAGGGGCTGTTGTTTTCTGCTTAACGGAACGCCACCTGCTCGATGAAATGCCTGAACGAACATCGAATTTGGTATTATGGGTATGATAACGTTCTATTTCGTGGAAGAGAAGAAGAAGTTGTATCCCTTTGAAATTGTTGAACTTTGTATCTGCGACAGTCGGTGGTAGTTCTGTTATGAAAATGAACCAGATTTGATCTTGTTGTGGCATGTTGATTAAATAGCCCCAATTGATCAAGCTGTGGAATTTACTCCAAGAGTGCTGTTATTTTACAGTGCCAGATGGTGATTCCTCCTAAAGTTAGAACACCTAGAATCACTGAGTATCTCAAGTCATATGTTCTAATTCCTAAAGATGCATTTATGTCAGCTACAGTTGTTCACTCACCAACTTCCATGGTAGCATCTTCTGCAAGCTCGCAAGAGAAGTCTCTGATGCCAAGATTGGGGCGTTTACTACTGAAGGGCAATAGCTGCTGCCACTGTATCGTTGAAGAGGGAACAAAAGTATCAGGGCAAGGTAAGATCTGTCTTTGATTCAATTAGGGAATCTGGTATAAGACTTATCTAAAATTGGACTACTGCATTTTCAACGATATTCTAAAATGGAACATTGCATTTTTCCTCTTTCCCGCAATTGATTGAAACACGAGTCATGTCACCATTTAACTTTGATAATATGTCACCATTGAACATTCATGTTTATGTTTACACTAGGACATAAAAAAAAAATCTTATGATTACCCGACTGTGATGCTACTGCTTGCTTTTCAGTTCTACAGAAAACATCATGGATTTCACGCTCATGTTTTATCATATAGGCTCTTACTTTGGCTACAAGTTACATATTCGTTTTGATGCTCTGTGCACTCAGAAGGAATGCCTTTTATTCTGTTTTCCTTTCTTGTCAGTTGGTCTATCGCCTAGTGAGAATCTGGAACCTCCAATGGATACTGGTCAATGGAATCAGACCAAACGTTCCAATGATCTGGTTTCATCTTGGAAATGCACTTCCACACAGCACTGTTACACTTGAACCCACTCCCGAACCCTATCTGCCAGACTTTATCCCCTCTTTGAATCCTCCCTTTGGCCTCTAGATAGCTCAGGGAATACCAGATCGATGAAGATGATGTGTTTCCAAACCTATGAAGCGTCATCTTTGATGCCTCCACGTCCATGTCTCTCAACTGCAGGCTCTTCTTCATAGCATCAATCACAGCTTTCCCACCTGCATAGTTATCAAAATCACGATTCTAGCAAAGATGGCCTCTTTGGGGGTCCTAAAATTTCAAAATACAAATCAGGATTTGCTTAACATTGTCTACCTGTATGAATGCAGAAATGGTCGAAGGCCTTCTTGAAATCTGGCATCTTCACAGCTCTCCTATCTTTAGACCATATCCGTTTCCAAACCATTGATACTCCATACCTGACAAGCTCGGAGTAAGGCAATGCAACTACAGCTAAGGTAGCGAGGTTCGTCTTCAAACCCTCACTTGCCACTTGCAGGATCGACCTCGAGAGTGCCACCCCAGTGTGGCCTTCATCATCAGTCTCCTGAAACACGCACTTGTAAGACATGTCTTTGTACCCGATGTGGGTTTTCACTATATGTTGGAGCTCGTACTTAGCGGTCTTGCTGTCGGCCTGACGATTCGACAGCAAGAATGCTGCCCCTCCCATTCGAAACAGGCAGTTCGCCAGGAGCATGGACTTCACTTTCCCTTCGTAGATGCTCGGGCAGATGGCCTCCACGCTGAGAACGAGCGCTACCGTGTTCTTGTGAACTCGGAGTATGTCTCGAGCCAGTGATAGAGATACCAATCCAGCACTGCAACCCATCCCGGACAAGTTATAGCTCTTGACATTGCTCCTGAACCCGAACTTGTTGATCAGCATCGCGGATAGAGAAGGGGTTAGGGAGACCATGCTGCAGTTGGTGATCACGACGTCGATGCTCTTCGGGCTGATCTTGAGCTTGGTCATGAGGTTTCGCACCATGGAGAAGAGGACCATCTCGAGCTCTTCCTCGGCGTACTTCAACGAGGTGCTCGGGGGCAGGGTATGGACCCCGCTGGGGAGGTAGCTCTGGTTGCCTATGCCCGAGCGCTCGACGACCTTGGTCTGGAAGTCGATCGTGTCCCTGTCGAGCTCGGACATGATCTCCGCGTGCTCGATGAACGTGGAGGTGGGGACACGGTGGGTTCGAGGTCCCTTGAAGCACACGAAATCAACGAGGTAGACCTTGTTGGAGGTGAAGGAGATGTAGATGGCTACGGCGGCTACGAGGGCGAGCAATGCCATGGGTTTCGGGTTGAGGAGGAAGGAGGATTGTGATGCTATGGTGATGAGTTGGTCTAATGGGAATGAAGGGGAGATCTCTGTTATGGTTGCCATGGTTGTTCTTTGGTTTTGTGGGGATGCTTGAATGAATGTGTAAAAGCAGAGGTTTTATACGTGGGAAAGAAGGTAGTGAGTGGGTGGGAGAAATTGGGGAAGGAATGTGTGGGGCCTTTGAATTGGCATAACTAACGGATTCTTAAAAGGAGACATGCAATTCGAACTTTCATCAAATGGGTTTTGGATCTTTGGGGAAAATTTGATTGAATTGTGGCGTTAAATGAGAAGTGTGACCACAATGTTTAAATTTTTAAATAATGTTTGTAGATAATCAGAGCATGGCATTTGGTACTTTTCCCCCTTCATTTTCATTCTCATTGATCTTAAACATCTTCTAGTACATTAATATTTTTGCAGCGTAAATTAGATTAACAAGATCAATAAGCAGATAAACAGGTTCTCCCGTCCAAGCAAGTTGTTGCTTATGGTACAAACTGAATATGAATATAGTCAGTGGTGAAAAATCAATCATTTTGATGAGTTCAAATGTCACGATTAAGATTTTTCTGTGAAAATTGAAAACTCTAGCCTTAAAAAAATATTAATGGAGAATTGGGAGTCTTAGCTTACGAATCCCAAATAAAAAATTTATGCTTCGAGATGGAAAGTTTTGATCAAATTCTTGGTCTAAATTAAATGCTGCACATTTTTCTTGTGTGGAATTGGGGTGAGATTTCTATCAACGTCCAATATTGATGAGGAAGATAAAGATATAATGAGGGAGTTTTGAAAAATAAAAATCACTTACAATTGGATTCAAAAATTAATTTGTGGTGTATAATTGCGTTAATTATTTTTATAAGTATAAAATATAAATGCATTTCAAATATGCACTTCCATTTTTTTCTCCCCTATAACTGGATACTGAGAAATATGGGGAAGAAAATACTAGGAAAAATGGGGAGATAACCAATTTTTCCTTTTTCTTAAAAAAAAGAGGGGAGGGAAAAGACACTAGGCTCGTCATATTTTCCCCAATCGGACCATTCCCTCCGACTTGGAGGCAAAGGGAAAGATGTGGGTGGGGCCGTGGGGTGGGAGAAGTGTTTATTTAACTTCCCTTTTCTTTTATATTTATGTATTCAAATTATAAATTAATTTTATGTCCACAAAAACTACTATCAAATTACTTTCCACCCCTCTATCCAATATTTATTTATTATTTTTTATCCAATATAAGTCCATAGGGCATAGTTGGACAAAAAAACTACAAGACTGTCAATAACCAAGAACGGTAGTTCATATAAAACTGGACTCCCGATGAAAGAGTCTGTTTTGCACAAGGTGGACATCTCTGTTGAAGCTCCAGGGAGCAAAGTGATACGAGATTGACACAAAGGAAGAGAAGAGGGAGTGAACTTCCTCTAGAATAGCTACTACTCTATAGTGGTAATACTTCCTGGATGTAGCATCCTTAATGATCGATTGAGAATCTTCGCAAAAAGTAACAAACTAGAAATTGTGTGCAAGACACCATCTCATTACACGTATAACACGTGGACAAATCCAGTAGCACATCCTTGAGATTTCTTAGTGGCCCCATAAAATCGGACAAAAAAACCTCTACTAGGATAGGTTATATATGGACCTCATGCACGATGACCTTGGCTTGTGGACGAGCGTTGTGTTGTCTTTAGACTCTTGAGGACTTCTAAACCTTATATGCCTTTGTCGTTTTTCATTTTGCTATATGAGCTGTTAATTGCCCGTATAATACTTAAGATTGGTAAAGAATGTGACCATATGTAGCTTTGCATCTACCTTTTCATATTCTCCAAAATAGAAAAATGATAAAGGCTACATCATTCTTGGTAATGTATGAAGTGAAGAATATGTTTCTTCATGCTAAATCTAAAGATGTTCCCTTCATCATGACACCTAAATGATCTAAGTTTGTTACTAACCAAAATTCTTTAATTGTTTTGCAGTCAAAGAAGTAGTTAGGGATGGGAAACGAGATGGGACTAGGTACCCATTCTGTTTGAAACGGGTACCCTGTCCCATTTATAGTGAAAACTCCATCCCATGTCCCAAACCCGTACGGGTTAACATGTACCATTACCTGTAAAAGACGGATAACGGATACCCGCGGGTAACCCATAAATTTGGGTGGTTCTCATTATTTCGGCTTTTTCTTTGGTTCCTTTTTCTATCTCCTCTTCCCGACAGAAGCTACAAAAGTTGGAGAAAAGACTTGGCCATCTAATTGCAGCCAGTGTCTTATAACATAATAATCGTCATCGTGGCAATTTATTGAAAAGCTCATCTCTCATTTATGTCACGGCGGACCAACTCTTGGTCGTGCGACACTTAGCACTCAAGTCTCGTTAGAGCACTAAGTAAGCCTAGCTCGCATTCACTCAAACTCACAAGTTGGGAGAAAACTCTAGAGATGGAAACTCTCAATTTCTGGATGAATGACAAATGAAGGAGAGGGCTGCTTATATAAGCATCCTCTCCACCAAGTACAATGTATGTAGGCCATAATTAATGAATGAACCTAGAAGTCCCCCCATACATGAACTAGCCACATACATGAATGATAATTAAAAGGTGAATGTATGTTCACTCATACATGAATCATAATAAATAAAGTGGATGCCTGTACGTTGGTGCATTAATATGAAGATGCATGCATGTACCTATGTCCTTCTAGAGTCTTCTAGAATTTTCCTTATGACATTTCCCCCCACCAAATTCACGACGTCCTCGTCGTGTCGCCTTCTTCGCATCGGCACCATTGTTGGTGTAGTGATGATGTGCTTGATGGCAAGTCAAGGGTGGCCCTGGATCATGCATAAATCCCATGGCCCCAAGATGTAGTACCCTCTTTGTCAAGTTCTTCTTCCATCGAGACTTCGAGCTTCCCACCGCTCTATCTTGGTCCTTGATTTTGCGGTCGCGACTTGCATTGCCGAGCATGCCTTTAGAGCTCTGGGTGCCTCTCTCATTAGTGGCACCTTGCATAGCTTTTCTCCTTCAAAGATGAGCATCGTATTCTGGAAGGAAATCGAAAAAGCTTTCTTTTCGTCCATAAAGTCTATGTCGATGGACGACCGGGTAATCGTCCATCGACACCACATAAAAGTCTGCCTCTCCCACCCAATCACCAAGGGTGATCCACACATTGAGAGTGACTCCATATGTTGTTCTGGCTTCTGAATTCACCGTCTTCAACCATCCTCTCTTCATCTCGTACGGGATGCTAAACCTCCGCGCTTCATCCACGTCGAGGAAGTTGTCATTGGTCCTAGTGTCCACCAATGCCTTGTCTTTCCCTTGTTGAGATTTGCCTCCACGAAGCATCACCCATTCTCTTCGGCAAGAGGAGGGACTTCCTTCCCCTTCATAGCGCCTATCAATTTTAGGCCACCCAATTTCGAAGTTTGGCCCTCCACTTTTGGAGCCTCCTCCTTTCCTTATCTTCCGAGCTTTCTTCCACGAGCATCGCAACTAACTTACTCCTCTTGGGACAGTCCCTTACACGATGTGGACTATCACAAAGAAGACAAGAAATAGGTTTATCAACCATTCTCCCCTTACCTTCTTTGTTTGAGTCACCATGTTGTTGTGTCCTCTTGCTCTCGTTGGAGTAGTCGTCATGGTCTCTCCCACCATTGCTGCTGAAATCTTCTTGCTCCTCTGGCCCTCGATACTCGACAAGGGACTCGATAATCGCCATTGTCGTGGTAAGGTCTTGCACACCTCGTCGTTGTAGCTCCAACCTCGCCCATGGTTGTAAGCCGTACAAGAATGCGAACAAGGCCTCCTTGTCCGGATAATTCGAGATCTCAAGTAACAAATCAAATAATTCTTTGACATACTCACGAATCATGTCGGCGTGGGTGAGTTACCGTACTTTCGCACGAGCCTTCATTTCCACATTCTCCGAATAATATTTCTTCTTGATTTCTCTTTGAAATCTTCCCACGTGTTCTTCTTACTCGTGCCTCTGTCGATGCTTCTTTGACGTCTTCTCCATCATACCATGGCCGTATCGACCAAGTAAAGCGAGGCGCTGCGCACCATGACCTCGTTGTCGTTCATGCCTGAAGCCTTGAAATATTTTTCAAGACTGCAGAGGAAATTTTCCAATTCCATCGCGTTCCTCAAACTTCCAAAATTCTTCGGTCTTGGAACATCCATTCTTGGGGTAGATTGCGTCGTGACAGGTCCGTTAGCCACCGCTCGCTTGACGAGATTGATCTCTCCTTGAAGCTCGTCAAACTCTTCTCTCATGTTGGTCACTTCTGCCCGAACGGTCTCCTTCAAAGAGTCAAACTTCCAACCCCACCTCCAACCCCGTCATTCGAGCAGCCACACCTTGCACCTCCTCGCGGACTTGAGTGATGTTTGTCTCCATGTCTTTAAACATCACGATGTGGTCGACAACCTTCGTCTCTGCCTTCGAGAGCCTCTCCTTGAGAGCGGCCAAGGGCTCACGAGTAGATTTGTCTATTTTAGGCTTGGTTGAGTTCTTATTGGGCTCACGTCCTCGTTGTTCTTCATTGACAACTTCGGATTCGGATCCAACCATCTTCTCGAGGTTATTTCTAACTTGATGAGTCACAAACCGGGATCTGTTACCACTTGTCACGGATCAACTCTTGGCCATGCGATACTTAGCACTCAAGTCTCGTTAGTGCACTAAGTCAGTCTAGCTCGCATTCACTCAAAATCACAAGTTGGGTGAAAACCCCAGAGATGGAAACTCTCAATTTCTGGATGAATGGCAAATGAGGAAGAGGGCTGCTTATATAGGCATCCTCTCCACCAAGTACAATGTATGTAGGCCATCATTAATGAATGAACCTAGAAGCCCCCCATACATGAATGATAATTAATAAGGTGAATGTATGTTCACCCATACATGAATAATAAGAAATAAAGTGGACGCATGTACGTTGGTGCATGAATATGAAGATGCATGCATGTACCTACGTCCTCTAGAGTCTTCTAGAATTTTTCTGGTGACAATTTCTTCTGGATGAATGTAC